GTATCGGTATAAAACCGGATGGTTTGAAGTCCACAATCTTTTGTAACTATTGTCGAGATGTTTGTACTATGTGTAATAAATATTGGTGGAATGACATGTCAAAGCTGCGTCAGCACGATCCAGACTGCATTATGTCTTATGAATGGGGTCAGTGTCGTCGATGTAAGCTTATTCTTAGTATTTCCTTTAATCAAGCATGAAGATTTTTGGACTAGCATTGAAATATAGTCATATGTTGTATTTGTGCGTAGTTTGTGTTACTACATGCACCTGCTATGTGCAATTTAGACTCAAAGGATTTTAAGACAATTGTTTGCTTGTGCAGTTCTTGTTTGTTTATTTCCAAGATTTTTGGTTAATTTTCTATAGTACCAACATTTGTGGCGTCGGGTTGAGTAATTATCTTGCAACAAATTTTCCCGCACCTAGATCAACTTATTGGAAAAACAGGCCTTGATAATTTATTCCTTTACTGAAATATCTGTGGAGAAATTAATTGAAAGAATTTCAAGCCTTGGTTTTGACGGTCGCTTGGTAACAAATTGCATCGAACCGTCTTCGAGAAAAGGTGCTATAATCCCGTTACTCACCTCTGCAGTATCGGTTCCAACCGAAGTTCGCCGCCAATCTTTCAGATTTTCACCATTCGATGTTGATTCGGCTGTTCAGTATTTGTCGACTTTCCCAGGAATTATTTACTTTTCATCATTTGAAACCGAATATAGGATTGATGTTTGGATTATTTCAAACAGCATAAGTGATCAAGGTGTGCAGATGTTTTCCTTACTTTTATCTTTGCTTTTGACCACTTACGTTTGACGACCAATAATGCATTTATTTTTAGAACTAGTAGAGTTCCTGTATATATTCTTGCATTTCCTCCTCCTCGATATTTCTTTCAAATTCATTGTTGATTGCGATTTTGAGATTTTACTTGTTCGATAAAATCGTTACATTCTTTTTTTAAGTCCGCAAATTGAAATGTTTCGTATTGTTCCCCATCACTGCCCTCTGTTGACTTGGTAGAAGATGCTACGTGTCTAATACACATGCCGGTGTATTTCTCTTGCTTTTCTATGCAAATTTATGCTGGTCAACTGCTGCTGTGTAGCACGCT